ATGAACATTTCCCATCAACCACCACCCTCTGTCTTCTTACAGCTAGCCAATTTCTGATCCAAACCGCTAAATCACCCTCAATCCCATGCCTCCGTATTTTCTGCAATGCTGCAAATAAAGTATAACAATAGTGTGTATACCCCTTGAATTACTTTTCTAATACTTAGTGTGTGATCGCACATTAATTATGTGGACATCTTGATCAATCAGTATACTCCTGGTCCCATAGGAGCTGGTTAATAAAAAGTTTGCTGTATTTGGAATTCAAAGCTCGGCCTGTGCAAGATCAGTGTTACACTGTGTCACCCAAACCACTTTATGATTTGTCTTTACTATTTCTATCTTGCTGTGTCATTCACAGTTCTATTTACTCTTAAGAGGAAGCATGTGTTTTTGAACGTTGCATGAGATCTAAAGCAAGATAATAGAAAGAAAATGTAAGGCTGTAAACTGCTCATGAACTATAAGCTTTTGCTGTGGAAGGAATGAAAGAAGGTCACCAAGTTAAAAATATTTATCCTTTTATGTGTGTCATGTAATTACAGTGGCATTCAGAGCTTGAGGTAGTATCATTGGAGCCTCTTACTTAAAATGTTTTTAACTTGTGCATTGGACTCATCCTGTTATGTATTATGTACGCTCATAGTCTCGAATGATCATTATACAAGAATAGTTGCCTTTAACTGTGTAAAAACTAAGTCAAATATATTCAAAAATTCATTAATTGCAGCTGAATATTCAACAATTTGAAACAAGGTGGACTCAAAACTGTTGAAACAACAATGCAAAAAACCTTAGTGTAACAAATTTACATAGAGTAAGGTTTAAAGCAGCTTCTTTGAATCTGGAGTTTTGATCAAGCAGGTTTCTCTGTTCAGTGTCATCAGTCAATTCTCTAAATGTCTATCAATCTGCACCAGTAAATTACTACTGCAGAATTTAGTTTAGAGTTCTGTTTAATATTAAAGTATTTTTGTTTGTATGAATACATTTTTGCATATTTCCAATAAAATACAGTTTGTTCCAGACTAGAGTATTTCAGTTGTGGTCTCCTGATAGAGTGCTCATTAACCCTATTTCATGACGGTTCAAATTAAATCATATGTGTAAAGTATCATTTGTAGCAGTATTGCAGATTCTGATTGGTATTTAACAAAATTCAAATGAAGATCGATGCTTAACTGTTAGCCATCATCAACTGGTGTATTCTCCATGGCCGCTATCAATCAGAGTCCACCTGCCGACCAATCACATGCGCTCATAATATTCCCATCAATTTTTAGTATTTCTTACAAAATGTAAGACAAAAGCTTTGACCGTGTCTTTCAGTAATACCCATGTGTAAAAAGCATTGAATATTTTGAGTTTGAGACATTGACAGGAGATTGACTGATACCAACGAAACCAACAAATGCAAACATAAATGTGGATGCATCTCTGATGCTGTCCTGCTGAAAACTGTTCTTCCATTTTGTTTTGTTTTGTAGAGAAATTTCCCACTAATGACACACACATACATATATGTATATTTTCTCTTTTCTCCCTGAGCCTAAAAAATAAGAACATATGAATTCTTTGCAGTTCCTTGCTTATACCTTATGGTGTTCATATGTATTTGTGGAGGTCATTATACTTCCACTGATTTGATGGACTGATCACAACTATGTGGCCAAACCCTAACCTACAGCCAGTTAAGAGAATCCCACATCTGAGATTCTCTGGGAATCGAACTAAGATCAGGATGAGTATATTTTCATTTGGTCACTGGATGTGAGTATTCCCCATCCCTGTACCTGCATTTTCCACTTCTTCTGGCAGTTCATTCCACAAACAAGCTACCCTCTGTTTTAAAAAAAAAAGTTGCCCCTCAGGTCCCTTTTAAATCTTTCTCCTCTCTCCTTAAAAATACCCCCTAGTTTTGAACTTGCCCACCTTAGGGAAAAAGGCACTTCCTATTCACATCATCTATACCCCTCATGATTTTATCAACCTGTCTAAGGTCATCCCTCAACTTCCTATGTTGTAGTGAAAAATGTTCCAACCTGTCCTTATAACTCAAATCCTCTAGTTCCAGCAACATCCTAGTGACTAGAACTGTATACATAACTCCAAAAGTGGCCTCCTCAATGTCCTGTACAACGTCAACATGACGTCTCCATTCCCATACTGAGCAATGAAGGCAAGCATTCTAAACGCCTCCTCACCACCCTGTCAACCTGTGACGCAACTTTCAAAGAACTATGTACTTGAACCCCTAGGTCACTCTGTTCAACAACACTACCCAGGGCCCTACCATTAACTGTATAAATCCTGCCCTTGTTTGTGTTACCAAAATGCAATACCTCGCATTTATCCAGATTAATCTCCATCTGCCACTCCTCAGCCATTGGCCCAATTATCCCTTTGTAATTTTAGATGACTTTTTTTTAATTCATTCACGGGATGAGGGCATTGCTGGCTAGGCAGCATTTATTGCCTATCCCTAATTGCCCTGAGGTCAGTTAAGAGTCAATCACATTGCTGTAGGCAATCACATGTAGGCCAGACCAGGTAAGGATGGCAGATTTCCTTCCCTAAAAGACATTAGTGAATTAGATGGGTTTTTCCTGACAATTGGTAATAGTTTCACAATCATCATTAGACTATAATTCCAGATTATTATTGAATTTAAATTTCACCATCTGCCATGGTGGGGTTCAAACCCATGTCCCCAGAACATCTGGGGTCTGGGCCTCTGGATTAATAGTCCAGTGATAATGCCAATAGGCCATTGCCTCCCCTAACACAGGAGATAACTTTCTTCAGTGTTGACTATACCATCAATTTTGCTGTCAACCGCAAACTTACCAACCATGCCTCCCAAATTCTCATTTGAATCGTTTATATAAATGACAAACAAAAGTGAACCCAGCACCAATTCCTCCAGAACACTGCTGGTCACAGGCCTCCAGTCGAAGCTAAACAAAAAACCCTCCACCACCACTCTCTGTCACTTACCATCAAGCCAATTTTGTATCCAGTTGGTAAGCTCTGCCTGAATTTCATGTGATCTACCTTCACTCTCTAGTCTACTGTGCGGAATCCTCAAAGGCTTTACTAAAGTCCATGTAAACAACGTGTCCTCGTCAATCTTTTTGGTTACATCGTAAAAATTGCAGTCAAGTTAGTGAGACATGAATTCTCATGCACAAAGCCATGTTGACTATCCCTAACCAGTCCTTGCCTCCCCAAATGCATGTAAATCCCATCTCTCAAAATCCCCTCCAACAACTTAGCCACCACTGATGTCACACTGTCAGATCTATAGATCCCAGGCTTCTCCTCACACCCTTTCTTAAATAAAGGCACAACATTAGCCACCTTCCAGTCCTAAGATCTACCCATCATGATGTTAGGGAGGGAGTAGCAGGATTTGGACTAGCAAAAGTGAAGGAACTGTGATGTGGTTCAAGTCAAGGTGTAAATATTAGGTGTCAGATGGTTCGAATTAATTGACTCATACATAGTCAAAACCTATTTTATTCAGCAACCCTAATTTTGATTCCTCCAGTTGTTTGATTTAGCATTCTTTCAAAAGGTCATCACCTCTTAACATAAATAAAACATTTTTAAAGAACTGACAAATGCTGAATGGTGCTAATATCTGTCACAGTTCTCATTAACAATTAATAAGCCTCTTAGAGTAGAAACTTGACAAACATCACTGATCAGTTTTCTATTGACCAGATCTCATTCATTGAAGAAAATCAATTAGATTCTCCCACATTGGCCTGATTTGTAAAACATTGAAGTGACAGATTATTCAACAAGAGTTATTAGTAACTGTTACCCTGTTGCAAGAAGTTATATAAGGATAAGTTAAGTAAGGCATATTTGATGTTGTGGATTCTACCAAGCATATAAGTTAACAAACTGTTGTTTCTATCACATTATATAGACCACGAGACAACATTTCGTATGCATGTACGGCAGGTGGAGGATTACCCTGTAGACTTGTACTATCTTATGGACCTTTCCCTATCCATGAAAGATGACTTGGACAACATCCGTGTGTTGGGTACCACACTATCCCGAGAGATGGCAAAGCTCACCAGCAACTTTCGTCTGGGCTTTGGAACATTTGTTGACAAACCAACATCGCCATTTTCTTACACAGGACCCAAATACCAGAACAACCCATGTGTAGGGTGAGTGATAATTAAGTTAATTTTCAGTGATTTACTAAGTATCCTATTGCAATAATGGGATGCCCAGTAGTGTTCAAGGATAACATTTTCCACTACTTTGTTTCTGTGAATGTATACCGGGTGCTTAAATCACAAGCTACTTAAATTATATATTAATGGCCCAATATTCTGGAAAAGCAATTTGTAGCTGATGCTTTCAATTAACATTCCATTCATTAATTTTCAGTGGTTTGCATTATAATCTCAAAATTTAGAAAAATCTGAATGCTGTACTATTCCTGTAAAATTGAGGCTCTGAATCAAAACGTAGTTGCTGCATAACAATTAACTTTTTAGATTAATGTAACAAGACAAGGTCATGTACCCACTGAACCTGTTCCACACTCTGCTAATGCATACAACAAAGTGAAATATTTTGTCTCGTTTGAACTTGCTTCTTTCTTTCAATCATTATGCTTAAGAGATTAAAAACTATTTGCGCTGTCAGAAATCATGTCCTAACTTGACACTTTGAATATCTAGCAGTTTGAAGAAAAGCCAACTGAGACAACTCAAATAGAAGCACCTTGTTTTGTTCACATTTATGTCAGTTTGGTTATTCTGAGAGTGAAATGGTATTACATTCCGCTTAATATAAGTTTTTAATTTTGTGTCATCTTGCTCCTCTCACGGTTATTTGTTGTTTTGCACAAGGGTTTCAACTGTCTTGAGCAACTGCTAGAAGTGTTTAACAATCCAGGTATTTCATGATTGGTAAGGGTAAATGGCGAAGAAAGAACTTGGATTGCTGTCGTAGTTTTCATGTGCCTAAGGCCCTTTATGATCAAATGATCACTTAGGGTGTATACAGTTATTGTCAAGAAAAGCATGTACAAAGATAGTTCTAACATTTGACTTGGTCTAGAAACTATGAGCATTTATTATTTTCTGTATATGAGTATATTATTATATTTCTGTAACTTATTTATCAATTTAATTCTCAAATTAAATTGCTAGTTAAATCTGATGTCAAAGTCTGGTGTGATGTCATTCTGCAGCTTCTCAAATGGGAAAGGAAGAACCACTGTTGATATGGAATATTATTAGGAGCTAAAACTAACTAAAAATTGTTTTCTGGTAACCTAGCAATCAAGTTAAATGTGAATTATTCATTAATGCAGAACATTTAGGCTCACTTCCAAAAGTAGTCTGAAACGCAGAAACCTAAAATACACTGAGAAAAATCCGAAACTGCATTACCATTCTGTGAGGGACTTTATGCCATTATTTCATCTCTTGGAAATATTTTTCAATATTCTTCTATGCTCTTTAAAGCTTGATTGTGCAGACTTCCTAAACGTCTACTAAATTTTTATCTTTAATTGTCTTTGGAAGATCTGTGCCACTATTTCCAATCAACTATGATGCTGTGTGCATTGTTGCTACTTGTACAGACTTCTGAAACCAGACCTTATTGCACACTTTTTTCAGCTGGGTCGTCTTTTTCTGGCTGAAGAAGCGATGAGTCAGCATGGCCATCCCTGCTTGATGAGTGTAAAATATGAGAAAAGAGGGCACACCCTGTATCATGACGTTAGCTTCTGTATCTGTGTAAAATGTTTGAAACTGTCTAATAGTCTTTGAGTGAGTGGATGAGCATGTGCATGAGTGAGTTAAGGATGGGAGGGACAGGTGTGTGGCTGAGGGAGTGAGTGGGCAGACAAGTGGATGGTGGGGATGGTAGTTGGGTTGGGCAAGTTCAGGATTGTTGGTGTAGCAGCATAGAAGAGATAGTTAAGTCAGAGTGTAGTTGAGTAAGGAGGTAGTTATGTTTGATAGATGGGACTGAAGGTGGCATGGGAGTAGAAGGGTGCATCAGTTGTGGAGTACAATTCAAAGACACACTTACTACTTCCTGAATTAGACCAGTTATTAATATTTCCTGCGTAGTAGTAAAGTTGGCACATCTGATCTGAGTCTCTGACTCTTAGTTCGTTATTGAAGACTTCTGTGTATGTTCTAGTCAGTGCAAATTAGTTATTTGTGTGCATCAGGACTTCTGCAGCTACTGTCACACCCTGGCAAACTTTGGCTAAGAGTTCAACAGTACAGATCCGGAAGATTTAGGCCTATCTTTATTTCTTGGCACTTAGGATCCCAACAATTTAAGTATCGTTACATAAAACATTTTCCCATTAATATCTGATTGCTGTAATATATTACATCAGGAAAATTGAAAGGCAAACACTAGTTTTAAATGAGTTCTAACTAAATTTGCAGTTTGAACAGTGCTGGGAAAAAACCATCCTGCTTGATAGCACAAAATGGCAACAGTAAAACAGTAATCTGTTATGCATTCTACTGATTTCTTTATTCACTTCAATGCTGAATGCAAAATTGTTTGCCAATTTATCCATAACCATTTTGCACTCCCACCCAATGACACCTTCACCCCATCAGACATTTCTGATTTTATATTTATAACACCAACAGATTTTCCAAATTCCTACACCACCCAAATCATTTGAGAGACAACTGGTGTTGATATAACCTAAAGGTCACCACACCAGAGGGGTGTGGGGAAATTGAGAAGAGTCCTTCATCATAACCTTAGCCAGTGCATAAATTGAAGCCAAACTGTTAGCACCACTCTGCTTTGCAATCCAACCAACTGAGCTAACTGACCCCCCAACCCCCCCACCACCCCCCGCCATCATGAGGAAATACGTACAATAGGCACCTTCTTGTGGCAATTACAGATATTTTTCTGTTAAACCACACCATTCCTACTTTTGTTCAAACTTTTTCCTTCAAGTCCAGTTATTATTTAGCCAAACACTCAGGAATAGAGTGTCTCATGACTTTTTTTATATATGTCTCTGGCTATAAACTCTATTAAATCAGTATCATGTGGAAAACATCAACTGGCCCGACAAAAATGATTGGGAGAAGTGTAATAGCAGGTAGACCACTTTTTGGAAGAATTAAACATTTTTTTTTGGTCTTTAAACAGAAGGCAGAGCTGTTTATGCCTTTGAAGATCAGTTCTATCAAGGACATCACTTTTTCTTCTCGAGTCTAAAAAGTAATACCTTGCAAAAGATGCTAAAGCCCAGACTACATCTGCTGTGCTGAACTGGCAGCCCAAGTAGACAATGTAGTTAATACTATAAATATCAAATTTTATTAAAGACCAAACGTGAGGTCATTGTGAGTTGAGTTGTGCATGTACTGATGCTATTGTTCTAATAATATAGAAGATACATGGTTCACAACTGAAGTTTACCAGCAATTGGTAGAAAAGTATAATTGAATTAGTATATAGAAGGCAATAAAATGTCATTGTTGAAATCATGTGTAATTGCCTTGTGCTTTGTCAACAGAAAGTCATGAATCTTTGAGATAGTTATCATGATTCTTAAAGTGACTGACTGTAAAATACTCAGTATTGGACCAAGGTTTGCCAATTGTGGATCCAAAATCAGTTTTAGATTTACTTTAGGTCTGAGCATCTCCAGTTGTAGATTTTTTTATTTTCGTGCTTTTACTGTGTTAGTCCTTTGCTGCCATGTAACACCTCCTCCCACTAGTTTGTGTTGTATGTGCATGAAGAATGAAAAGTGTTAGGTAATTTGTTCAGGTGTGAATTTGAGTACAGCTTTACCTCTGTACCAACTGCTTTCTTAATACTGTCACAACACATGTTAATTTGTAGATAGTGACCATGACCGCAGCAAATGTACAAAAACAGCAGAAAGCATTTTTTAAAAATTAATCAGACTTTTTCCTCCGCTTTAAGCTTGGGGCATGATGAATTTCCTGGCACATAGGAAAGATGGGCAGAGACCAATTATGGCTGGTCCATCTTTTCACTTTACTGAGCGAGCTCCTGCACGGCAGAATCAAATGGAATGTTCATCTATACATAAGTCGAGCCAGGCCAATCAGGCAGTCATGAAAAAATAGCAAACCAAAGAAAGTGTAAAGAGAAAGAGACAATGAGAGTTTGAGCTGTGGGTGACATGAAAAATGGGAAGCAGCCAGAATAAAATTAACAGGAGAAAAAAAAGCAGAAGAGGAAGCCAAGTGGAGCCTGGTGATGGGGTGGAAAGTTGAGCTTTAGAACGGTGGGGAATTTAAGGTACAAAGGATGGGTATGAGTGACAGATATGAGGGCATCTCCTAAGACACATCAATGATTGATCAGTTGTTTCCATTTCCCCTCTTTATTATTTTATAATTCCTTCCATTGTTCACACTTTAAAAATCCTCTCTGTATGTTTGCTGAGTCCATTATGACATTGCAAAAGGAACAGAAGATATATTTCCAGGCAAAAGATTTACAAACTTAGACAGCATACATTTTATCATATTATATGTGCTGGATTTATTTACAGTTCTTGTTCCCAATTCGTCATCTGATCATGTGGGCAGAATAGGCAAGATTTTAAAAACTGCAGAACAGTTACTGTATAGTTTAAGAAAGGGCCATGGCAGTCACATTTGGTGGATAAACTTCAAATACTTGTTGAAGCAGAGGCCAAGTTTCCTAGGGTGGAGGGAGGACCTGGGAGGTACTGGGATTGCAGAAATCTCGCTAGATCTAATGTTAGGACCTATTTGATAACTTACTTCCCTCCAGTTTCTGCTCAACAAGACTTGGTTCAGCTAATCTGACCAGCTACTAAGCAGGGAAGAGAGCATTTGAATGTTGCAGCTTGGAAGCAGGAGCTACTAGGACTGGCCCACGCACTGCCTACTTACTCAACTCTGGGTACTTCACCTCTAAGCTGCATGAACACGCAGCCATTCTGACATTCAATGCACATCAACTCGCATTGAGTTTAGGTTTCAGATGTCACTGCTGTGAATGGACCTCAGAGTTTTGTGTACTTCTTAAAAAAAAAGAATTTGAGGGAACTTTTCTCACATTTCCCATACCTTCATCATCAGTAACAGCTAGGTGAGGCACTTCATCTCACTCGATCCTTCCCTTCCTCTCACTGAAGAGTGAGACGCCCACAATATTGCAGCAAGAGCGAACCCAAGTGGTGGGGTGACTGACATTTGGCTCCTTCTCCCTTATGAGGAGAGGATCATGACCCTGACAGCCCCATGTGGTTGACTCACCATTCTTAAGCCCCAGGGCTAATATCAGAGGTTGCTCTTCACATACTGTGATGGGAACTTGGCCTGAAGGGCACCTTCCTCGACTTGATTCATGAGTACTGCTTTCACCACCCCACTCCAACCCTTCCCAACTTTGAGGCATGGTTATTTAGTCATTGCATGTTTGCCATATGATGTTGGTGGCACATGATGCAGGTGTGAGATTGTAGAGCACCCATCTATAATCAGCAACATGTTTGCCCCCTTGATTGGCTACTGATAACAATGACAAGCTGCTTTGGTTTTGTGTATGCACTAAAAGACAAGTCAAGGCAGAAGTGCTGTGAGTCTTTTAAGTGAGTCTGGTTGAGAAGGGCACAGTGCAAAAAAGACAAGGCATGGTAGGGTAAGGCAGAGGTGCAGTGGGCAGGTGCCTGTCTTTGCATACTAAGTGTCTTGGAGCAGCATTGCAGTGAAAGGTGCCAGTGCGTTTTGAAGTGCAGAACCATATTGTAAGTGGTTGCTATATTGAACATACGTTTGATTCATGTTAAAATCAAACCAACTACTTGAATCTACACAAAAATATAACTGCCAAGATTCTTAGCACATTTCTTCTTCTCCTTTTTAATCAGTTATGATAATTGAAAGCATATTTTTAGAACATAGAACATAGAACAGTACAGCACAGTACAGGCCCTTCGGCCCACGATGTCGTGCCGAACTTTTACCCTAATCCTAAGGTCTATCTAGCCTCCACCCCTACCTTATACTATCATCCTATCATACTATGCCTATCAAATAGCCACTTAAATGCCCCTAATGAGGCCGACTCCACTACCCTCTCCGGCAATGCATTCCACCAGTTCTCAGTTCTCAGGAAGGTTAGAACGTTCATTATCATTGATTTTTGTTGAGCACTTCTTTAAATAAGTTGTCTAGTTCTAGCCCTTGTCATAGACTATCAATTTTTTTTTTATAAGCAATTATTTCATGTGTAATTTTGCTTGGAGGCCAAAGTTCAAATCAAAAAGAATGAAGAGAATAGAAGGACTGGTATTTGAATATTTTTAAAATGTATTTTAGTATTCAAAATGTTATGTTTTCTGTAACTAAAATATATGTTTTTAGCCGTAAGAATCAGCAACCCAAACTCTTAAAATCAATATTAGGAGTTTACCAAAAAAAATTAACAAGTAGTTATGGTTAGCCCATTGCAAAATGACAAAAGTTATTTTAATATGCACAGCATAAACTGCTGTTCTCTATATGGAGTACACATATGTGAGGATGCATCTTATCCTTGCTGTCATGTCTTTTCTTGTAGATATAAGCTGTTTCCACAATGTGTTCCAAGTTTTGGATTCCGTCACCTGCTGTCACTTACTGACAAGTCTGACAAGTTCAATGCAGAAGTTCAGAAGCAGATGGTATCTCGGAATCGTGATGCACCAGAGGGTGGCTTTGATGCAATCCTGCAGGCAGCAGTTTGCAAGGTGAGGAGGTTTCATCTGCAGACAGTATTATTGTACCACAGCAAGCTAGAGGGTGATGTGTCACATTGGCGTGGCTTTATCTTTATCTATTGCCAGCTTTACCTGTTCCGAGCTAATATATCTCTGTTCGTTGTTGTTAATGCTTTCTAGAATTTGAAGGGGGAAACATCTATTTCTGTAGCTTGAAGCACTATATGCTACTACCTACATGGCTAACTCTGTTTATAACTGAAGAGAAATGGGCTGATATGGTAGCAGCCCATGGCATTTCTCCTCCTAGGAGGAAGCAGCATTATATGTTGTGGGACAAATTTCATTTGGAATCCAGAGATGGTTAAAATCGGAAACTCTTTCTTACAAGCAAGCAGGGAAAGGTTCAAGCACTTAAGTCTCTGAAAGTTCATTTACCATGAAATTTATTTAAGTGATTTTAAGAGAAATCAACACAGCTGGCTTCAAAACACTCTTGCCCTTCTTGTCTACTTCACTAAATTATATTCTGGAAAGCATGTTTTAATGTATTCGTCAAGCAAGAGAGTGGAAAAGTACAGAAGTGTTTCAAGGTGAAAATAGTTTAAGCTTTGTCCCCAGCCATTCATTTGTTATATTCTCCCCATCATCTGTGACCCTACTAGAAGCAATGCTACGCAAATAAATTTCTTTCCGAAAATATTTACCATGATTAGAGTTAACAACCTTTTAAGGAATCTTTTGTCTTGTTATTTTACAAAATCAGTTGGATGCTGGTACCTTAATTGGATCAGTTTAAGAGGAATATTTTGACCTACAACTCATTCACAAAGTACAAAGTTAGTACATACACAATATTGATTTCCTCGTGACAAATTCTCTGGTTGGTCATTAGGTGTGTATTTACATGGCTCTCTCCAACAATATTGAGGAAACCCAGACAAGCAATCCAGGTAATGGCCACTGGCATTGTCTGATCTGGAGAATTGATGTAGTCTAAGTGCCACCACTTTGTGAAGCAACAGGTCATGAATATCTTTTTAGCCACTTGTGCTTCAAGTTCAGTGCCAGGAAGTTAAATGCTTTTCAGCATGAGCTATTCCCAAATTAACTTGAAATGTCTCAGACATAGTAGGAACTGCAGATGCTAGAGAATTCTGAGATAGCAAGATGTAGAGCTGGATGAACACAGCAGGCCAAGCAGCATCAGAGGAGCAGGAAGGCTGACGTTTCGGGCCTAGAACCTTCTTCAGAAATGGGGGAGGGGAAGGAGGTTCTGAAATAAATAGGGAGAGAGGGGGAGGTGGATAGAAGATGGATAGAGGAGAAGATAGGTGGAGAGGAGACAGACAGGTCAAAGAGGCGGGAATGGAGCCAGTAAAGGTGAGGTTGTGGATGGTTTGGGAGATGATGGTTTGGTGGTCGGGGGTGGGGTCATGATCAAGGGGGCGGTAGGAGGAGGTGTCGGAGAGTTGGCGCCTGGCGTCTGTGATGTAGAGGTCAGTGCGCCATACTACAACTGTGCCTCCCTTGTCCACGGGTTTTGTGGTGACGTTGGGATTGGAGCGGAGGGAGCGGAGGACTGCACGTTCTGCGGGGGAGAGGCTGGAGTGGGTGAGAGGGATGGAGAGGTTGAGGCGATTGATGTGATGACAGTTGGAGATGAAGAGGTCGAGGGAGGGTAGGAGGCCTTGGGGTGGTGTCCAGGAGAAGGGGTCAGTAGAGGGAGGGTTAGGCTCACGGTTGAAGAAGTAAGCGTGGAGGCGGAGGCGGTGGAAAAACTATTCAACGTCCAAGCGTGAGCGGTATTCGTTGATGTGTGGGTGCAGGGGGACAAAGGTGAGCCCTTTACCGAGGACTGACCATTCGTGCTCAGTAAGGGGGAGGTTGGGGGGGAATGGTGAAGACTCGGCAGGGCTGGGTGCTATTGTCTCCTCTGGAGCTGCTGGCTGTGGAGGCGATGGGCGGAGTTGCGTTGGCGTGGGCAGTGGACGGAGTTACATGGGCGGAGCGGGGTAGGCGGCGGCAGCAGCGGTGTCAGCAGGTGCATCCTCAGTGTCTGTGGTGTTGGCCTCGGAAATGGAGGCCTCTTCCGTAGCTACACTGGCCCTAAACCCCACCTCTTCCTCCACTACATTGATGACTGTATCGGCGCCACCTCGTGCTCCCACGAGAAGCTCAGACAGTTCATCTACTTCACCAACATCTTCCACCCCAACCTTAAGTTCACCTGGACCATCTCTGATACCTCTCTCTCCTTCCTGGACCTCTCTGTTTCCATCTCTGGCAACCACCTGGAAACCGATATCCATTTCAAGCCCACCGACTTCCACAGCTACCCAGAATACACCTCTTCCCACCCACCTTCCTGCAAAAATGCCATCCCCTATTCCCAATTTCTTCGCCTCTGCCGCATCTGCTCCCAGGATGAGGCATTCCACTCCCGTACATCTCCGATGTCCTCGTTTTTCAAGGACCACAACTTCCCCCACTCAGTGGTCGAGCACACCCTCGACCGTGTTTCCTGCATTTCCCTCAACTCATCCCTCACACCCCATCCCCGCAATAACAACCAAAACAGAATCCCCCTCGTCCTCGCGTACCACCCCACCAACCTCCGGATCCAACGCATCATCCTCCGACACTTCCACCATCTGCAATCCGACCCCATCACCAAAGACATTTTTCCCTCCCCACCCTTATCTGCTTTCCGGAGGGACCACTCTCTCTGGGACTCCCTCGTCCACTCCACACTCCCCTCCAGCCCCACCACATGCGGCACTTTTCCCTGCAACCGCAGGAAGTGCTACACCTGCCCCTACACCTCCCCCCTCAACCCCATCCCAGGCCCCAAGAAGACTTTCCACATCAAGCAGATGTTCGCCTGCACATCTGCTAATGTGGTATACTGTATCCGCTGTTCCCGTTGTGGCCTCCTCTACATCGGGGAAACCAAGCGGAGGCTTGGGGACCGCTTTGCGGAACCCCTATGTTCGGTTCGCACTAAACAACTGCACCTCCCAGTCGCGAACCATTTCAACTCCCCCTCCCATTCCTCAGACGACATGTCCATCCTGGGCCTCCTGCAGTGCCACAACAATGCCACCCGAAGGTTGCAGGAACAGCACCTCATATTCCGCTTGGAAACCCTGCAGCCCAATGGTATCAATGTGGACTTCACAAGCTTCAAAATCTCCCCTCCCGCTACCGCATCCCAAAACCAGCCCAGCTCGTCCCCGCCTCCCTAACCTGTCCTTCCTCCCACCTATCCCCTCCTCCCACCTCAAGCCCCACCCCTATCTCCTACCTACTGACCTCATCCCGCCCCGTTGACCTGTCTGTCCTCCCTGGACTGACCTATCTCCTCCATAACTCCCCACCTACACTCACGATTACTGGCTCCATCCCCGCCTCTTTGACCTGTCTGTCTCCTCTCCACCTATCTTCTCCTCTATCCATCTTCTATCCGCCTCCCCCTCTCTCCCTATTTATTTCAGAACCCCCTTCCCCTCACCTTTTTCTGAAGAAACGTCAGCCTTCCTGCTCCTCTGATGCTGCTTGGCCTGCTGTATTCATCCAGCTCTACACCTTGTTAACTTGAAATGTGTGTTAGGATCAGAGAGAAGTTGAAAGTTACTTAGTGATTTAATGTCCATGGAAATCTCCATGAGGGTGGAATTGATACAGCTAGAACTAATTTGAGAATCCTTAAAGCCTGCAACTTTCATCTGCTGAGTCCACACTAGATTCAAAAAGATTTCCAAGGTGAATCAAATTTATCACCCAGTCCTCTCAACTATTTAACTTTTTTAAAGAATGTGTAATGACAAAGCACTTTTTAGAATCAAAATATGTATCTCTATGGCACAGAAACCAATCATTTAGTCCAACTAGTCTATTATTGTACTTATTCTCCAGAAAATCTTTCTCCAGATCTAATTACTTCTTCCATCCTTGCAAATATCCCTTACTTCTTAAAGATTGTATGTATTAACCCTCCTCTTAAATGCTATTGGATTCATGCACTTCATTTTCTGAGTGCCATGTACTCACCACCCTGGGTAAGGAATTGTTTCTAAATTCTTAATTTGATCTGCTAGCAGCTACCATAGATTTATGCCCCATATTCTGGGTTCACAAGTGGAGATCATCCTTCCATATTCACCTGTTAGACCCTTCCTATAATTTTGAAGTTCTCTCTGCAGTCTCCTCCTATTCTTTTCCAGATGTTCAATCTCACCTGATACTACGGACGAATCCTGTAAAAATATTAGAAAAACTGAGTCCAGAACCAAGAAAGGCTCCCATGGCAGAAGGGATCAGCTTACTTTGGTGTCACGTTTGGCACAACATCGTGGGCTAAAGGGCCCATTCCTGTGCTGTACTGTTCTGTGTTCTAATGGGTGGAACGCAGACAGGCAAATTGCCCAGGTGTTAGTAATAGATAGGCTTTGGAAGTTGAAGTTCAGTTCTGAGTCAAACATAATATCAGGATTTGATAGAAGTTGAGCCCAGGGACAGTAGTCTGTGACAAATGGGTAAAATTTACTGTGAAGCTTGAAAATAATAACTTTAGTCTTCTGACAATCAGTTCAAGGAAATTTTAATGTCACCCCGGACTCCAGTATTAGAATTGTAATCAAAAAGCACAGAGGTGGTTACGGAGATATGACAATTATTGAGACATAGCTGGCTGTCCTCAGTACACACGTGAAAGCTGAAACTATCTGTTGCTGATATCACAAAGGCAGGATGCAGTTGGAGGAAAGGAGTTACTAAAGCTCGATCCCTGGGAGCCACCAGCAGTAGTTAGACTGTCAGCAAACAAACATATACCGTGGACTTCCTTAACTATACGCATCACTCACTGTCCAATGTTAGCAAAGCTATAATGTACACTACCTACAGCTTAAAGAACCAGTTAACAAAATGGGAGTTTTGCCCTTTGTGTACATTGTGATGCAATAAAGAATCATGGAGAAAAACCTTTTTTTGGGCAAAGTTTCAACTTTGAGATCCATGAGCTTTTTCATATTAGAAGTAAAAGTGTGAAACTAGAGGATGTTCAAAATGTAATTTATTGAATTGAAAAAGGCACCTATTCAGTTGTTGCAGTTATTTCCCTTGGGTTTGATCATTGAAAGTTTAGCAAATGAAAAGACCTTGCATTCAGTCCCGTTCCTACAGGTGGAGCAGCAGGGGAGACTGCTCTCGTTTATAGACAAACAATTCTGTGTTTTAAAGTGATCCTAAAAAGAATTTTTTCCATTCCCTAGTTTCATTCAAGTACTTTTGCTACACCAAAAAATGTTCATGATTGGAACATGTGGAATGTCTGCCCTGTTTCTGCGGTTAATAGTTGACTTTCAATCCTATGCCAACAAACTCAAGTCTGTGAAACTAAACCAAAAAGCATGTGACAGCAAAACTATTCTGTAAAGTTATGCAATTATCAATTGATTCCAGATAAAAGTTCATTTCAGATCCTGTATGTTATTTACATTTTAATAAAAGTATCTGTGAAATTCCCTGGACAACCTGCTTGCTGCTGGTAATTATAAAATTTATTGACAAAAAATTACAAAATGAATAACGAGCTTAGAAATTAACGTGCTGAATCAGTAATGAAATCTGATATGTCTGTGCATTTGACTAATTCTCGTGTTCAGTACTGAGTGTGAAAAGAGTTTGAAGCCAAATATTGTTTTTCTTTTAATACTTCCTCAAATGTACTACTATTGAGCCTGATAAATAAAACAATTGTGTAAATTATTTTATAGTAGTGGTCAGTCATAAGAATAACTGTGGCAGGTGGTCCCAATTTTACCAAATTCATTTATGTTGGCTCTCCAAAGATTTGTTGAGATTTTGGCACTCACATATTCTGACCATTCACTTTAACTATGTGGACTTTGTGGCTGGTTTGAGAGCATCTCTAATTATAGCAGTGTTATCCTAAACTGTTTGTGTTTACAGGAAGCCAGACTTTAAAAATAAGATTGGTAATTGTGATCTTTTTTGATTCCCTAAGGAAAAAATAGGCTGGCGGAAGGAGGCTTCCCACTTGCTAGTGTTTACCACAGATGATGTACCACATATTGCATTGGATGGCAAGCTTGGTGGTCTGGTACAGCCCAATGATGGACAGTGCCATCTTGATGAAAATAATGAGTACAGTTCCTCAACACAAATGGTGAGGCTAACCTGTCAGTTATTTGTAACATGATGTAGTAACATTTTGTTTGTTCAATGTTGATCAAAACATCTTATCCTATGTGTTGTGTTACAACTCACTTGGGTAGTACATTGGAAACTGAGCTTTGCTATTCATGAAGTTGTCACAATAGTTAAGAATTTTATAAAATACACAAAGTTCCCCAATTTACCTGACCTTCAGCCTCTGATTCATATGAAGCGTGAACCAAGTTTCTGTACTGAATAAGGATCATTATTTGTTACAAACAAATATAACTCTTTCTCTGTAGCTCGAGCCTAATTTGGGATATAATACTACTAATTAAAACTCTAATCCCCTATAAACTCACCTTACTGTATGTCTCTGTGAAAAAAGATCATGGATGGAGGGGAAAAAACTGGAAGACAGTTCAGTATTCTTTGTTCCCAGGTACTGTTGCTGAGATGAAATTTATTAATCTTTGCTGTCCATTGTATTGCTTTAGTCGTCTTTGTCTGAATGTTTCAACTGTCTTGTAAGAGATACAAGGAGGATGGTTCCTTTTATAAGAAGTGTATGACCTAACAACTAAAAGTCACACCTACAACAACAGTTGCAGGGAAGATAAATTAAATTAGTTTCTTTAGGTTTACATGAGTTTTGACTGAAGAAAATAATTAATCCCTAGCTGGGAGAAATTGAACACCTCTGTCTCTGCGTATATGTGTGTCTGTCACTCCCTCATTCTGTCTGTGTCTCCATAGCTTGTTCCCAGCTCCAAGCTCACTTGTTGGCAGGCAAAAAGGTCTGTGTTATTGATCTATGGCTTAGTGACCAGTTATCAATCAACTTCTTGTTGCTAACAAAAGCTGCATCAAACACCCCTTGGCTCCATTACATTGGCAACTCAAACTCCAGTTACTGCCTGTTCAAACAGTTCTTTACAATGCCTGGCATCGGTGTTGGGTTACTTGCTTTTTAAAACTGCACATTCTTGCCAAGTTTGGCACTGTCATTTTAATCCAGTTTTTAAAAATGCCCATGCAATTGGTTCTTGCAACTAACCCTATTTACACGATGTATTAGGTGATTTCCACTATGATAGGTAATGCATGTTCAACCATCAATGTAAAAGAGTCTGTTGTGCTCACTGTCGAATGCAATGATAATAATGGTGGTGTTCATTTTCCTTCCGCTCACTTCCATTATTCATTCACTCTTGTGATGTGGGCATTGCTGGCAAGGCCATTATGGCTTAGCCCTGTTTGTCTTTGAGAAGATAGTAGGCCATCTTAAACCACTAGACTCCATGTGGTGAAGGTACCGTTAATTGTGTTGTTACATAATTTTCCACGATTTTGAACCAACAATGATGATTAATATTTTAACGAAGATCTGTAGCTCGGGTTGTGGTTGGAGTTGTTGATTGGCTCGCCGAGCTGACTGGCTTTCATGTGTCTCCTCCTAGGTGACACAGTCAGTGCTGTGTAGCCTCTAAAGTGCTGTTGTTCTGTCCCGGTCTGGATTTATATGGTCCATTCTGTCATAGTGGACAATCTTTTTTCCAGTTTTGTACCATTGTGGTATGTTTATTAATTGCATTGGTGGTTGAAGACTGGAGCGCACAGCCCTCCCCCAGATCGAACCTAAACTATATGGGTTAGATACATGGAAGATACATTTGTGATCATTAAGTGAGCAAAGTTAGAAGAAACACATCACTTTTTTAAAAACATACTCGCCGGGAACAAGTTCACCAGGGAAGAAGAGAACAACAATCAACTCCTGTTTCTAGATGTAATGGTGGAACAAACAGACAACAGGGAATTCCTTACCAGTGTATACAGAAAGACTACACACACGCACACACCACCCCAGCATCCACAAACAGAGCTGTGTCAAGACTCTGTTTAAATGAGCGGTAACTCACTGCAACACCCCAGAGCTGCGCAAAAATGAAGAGAAACGCCTATAGTGAGTCTTTGCAAACAATGGTTACCCTAACAGCTTTGTTCACTGCCTGGCAAACAAACAACACCAAGAAGATACTGTATGTCCCAACACACTGGCCACCCTACCCTATATTAGAGACACATCAGAACTGACTACAAGACTGCTATGACCTCTTGAAAAAAGATAGTGCACAAACCAACAGCCATACTTCGCCAGTTACTCAAAGACAAAGGATCCCATACCCACAATGAGCAGAACAAATGTGATATATAAGATACCATACAGCAACTGCAAGAAACACTACATAGGACAGACAGGCAGGAAACTCGCCACCAGGATGCATGAACACCAACTTGCAGCAAAATGGCACGACCAACTCTCCCTCATTTCAATACAGTCCGACATAGAAGGATATCAATTTGACTGGGAAAATGTGACTGCAGTAGGACAAGCAGGACCAAAACAAGCACAAGAATTCCTGGAGGCCTGGTTTTCAACCACTGATTTCAACATGTTTGTTAATAGACCCCATCTACATACCACTACAGTACAAAACTGGAAACAAGACTGCCCACCATGACAGACCGGACCATATAAGTTCAGAGCGGGACAGAACTTCAGTGCTTCAGAGGCTACACAGCACTGACAGTGTTACCTAGATGGGAGACAAAACGTTTGCACGAAAATCAGTCAGCTCGGCAAGCCAACCAACAACGATGATGGAAGGATGATGTATTTGAGTCCGGATGATTTGTGACTTGGAGGAAGCTTGGAGATGTATTCCTGTGCATCTGTTATACTTTTCCTTACAGAGGTAATGGGTTTGAGAGGCACCATTTGACAATGCAGTGAGTTGCTGTAAAGTGGATCCTGCTAGCGGTATATACTACAGCCACGTTGGTAAGAATGGTGGGTGTGAATTTTCAAGACACTTGATTTAAAATGACAAGGTTCATTTCAGGACAATATCTCCTGCATAAAGGGTTTTCTTTCTCATTGTCCCGACTATCTAAGCAATTAATAAATTCAGACCAATTTTGTGTTCCGTTCCAACCTACATAGAAAAATAAACTGTAAACTTTGTGTAACCTCAACATTTGTAATAGTTTACTTTAGATCTGTGAATGTTGTGGAAATGATCTCTTGAATTTTCCTAGGTTATTTCCTGACCAGCGTACTAACCTAATTACGTCAGGTTGGTAGTAAAATTGTATGTAACGTATCAAGTGAATATCTTAACACATACAATGCACGTGGTTGTGTTTGAGTTGGTGTGGATTAAAATTCAACCCAATATGTTTCCTTTTAAAAAATACCAAACTAATGATAAAAACATGTGGGATCAGATTTCCAAAGGGATATATTTTGTTCCACTGCATTCATACCACTTATGAATGAATTATGTTCAATATGTCACAGCTATTTGCAAAACCTCACTGTATTTTATAATTTCCTGATTCAGTATTATCTATTTTGTACTTGTTTTCATACTTTTATATGAAAAGGTTTCAGAAGCTCGAAACAATCTGCTACATCCGAGAATTATTGCATTTTGACTTTTTAAAAAATATCACTAGTGTTTATGGAATACATGAAGAAATGTTTTGCCTTTTAAAAAGTAAATGGTCCAATGTCAAGGAGCCCTAAAAACCATGAATGCCACATGCAAATGAGTTCTATCATCTGTATCACAAATGATTACTTTCTGAAATGCATCACTACTTTGTTGATTTTGCACACGCACATTTTAGTTGATGTTCTGTGGTCCTTTATTAAAAGGTTTTTATCGAGCTGTATAGTCCAATAGGTAGAATGATTTATTATTTAATATCACGAGTTTTGTTTGTGCTTGTTTATGGAGGCTCAGAAGACATTTGATAAGATGTCACACAGAAGGTTAATACACAAAGTAAGATCATATGAGGTTGGGGTAATTTATTAGCTTGGATAGAGGAATGGCTAACCAACAGAAAACAGAATCCAGATAAATGAGTCTTTAGTTATGTCTTACCAACCAAATAATCGGGTGATTCAGTCCTCAGGGACCCAATTATTTATACTCTATATTAATGACGTGGAAACTGTGGTAGAAAGGACTATAGTCTTACTTGCAGAGAAAATAGGTGAGATTGTAAGTTGCATTGAAGAAATAAGAAATTTATGAATGGATATGGATAGGTTAGGTCAATGGCCAAAATTCGGTTCTGCACTTTGGTCAGAGGAATAGAAATGCAATTTAAAATCTAAATGGAGAGAAACTTCAGAGTGCTTGATGCAGAGGGATCTGGGTGTCCTTTTGCATGAATCGCAGAAAACTAGTATGTAGGTAATTAAGAAAGTCAAATGTAATATCGGCATTTATTGCTAAAGAATAGCATATAAAAGTAGGAATGGTTTGCTGCAACTATATAAGGCATTATTGAGATTGCACCTGAAGAATTGCATACAATTTTGGTCCCCTTACTCCAGTTCTGAGGAATGGTTACTGGACCCGAGACGTTAACTCTGATTTCTCTCCACAGATGCTGCCAGACCTGCTGAGCTTTTCCAGCAATTCCTATTTTTGTTTCTGACTTCCAGCATCTGCAGTTCTTTCAGTTTTTATTTTCTATACTGCCTGGAGTTTCTAATGAAAGGGAATCTAATGAGGTATATAAGATGCTGGAGGGAATCGAAGAAGTAGATGTGGAAAGGTTGCTTCCTTTTGTAGGGCAATCTAAAATGAGAAGTCATAGTTTTAGGATAAGAGGTATCAGATTTAAAAGATGAGGAGAAATTATGTGATCCTTGGATACAAGAATCTGTGGATTCACTACCCCATTATGCTGTGACGTTGAGTAAGTTTTGAGAGGAGAGAGTTTATTTTTTAGTTATGGGTTGAAGGTTATGGGGAGCAGGCAGGAAAGTGGAGTTGAAGCTGAATGGTCTACTCCAGCACCTCGTTCTTAAGTTCACATCTATTTCTACTTTTTCTCATTTTCTCTTCAGGATTACCCATCACTTGCACTCCTAGGAGAAAAGTTGGCAGAGAACAACATTCATTTGATATTTGCTGTTACTCAGTCCCATTACATACTTTACAAGGTATTGTATGCATTTTGATTCAAAATTTTTATAATCCATAGTTTGTTGTGCTTTTCTTCTGTTGAATCACTTTATAAATGATCTAATGTTTATGCATGTTTCTTTTTTCTGAAGAATTTTACTGCTTTGATCCCTGGAACAACTGTAGAAATTCTTGACAAGGATTCAAAGAATATAATTCAGCTGATTGTCAATGCTTACAGTGTAAGTTGATTATTGGAATCAAATGGTGCTTCAACTATATGCATTGTTACAATGAAATGTAAACAGAAATTTTCCATTGTAATATTGCTTAGACATGCATATTTTTGCCACATGTCTGAAATAGACTGCTTTGGGAAAGATGCATGATCATCAGATCACCAAGCAGATATGAAATCACAGTACTGTTTCATCCTCTGCTGATCACATGGAGAGCTTTCTTAGTTTGAGAGAAATCTACCTTTGAAAGTCTTATGTTGTGTAATTATATTCCTCTAGCTTAAAAATTAAAGTTGGGTTAAAGTATCACTTTTGCATTACTTTGAACCAATTTGGGATTGAACTGACAGACTTTTAGCACAACTTGAGCTTAAATTTATTTCAGTGAGCAATGTTCAGTCGGCCAGCTCCTGTTTCAGTAAAATGCCAGTGTTCGACTGTGGTCAAGAACTAACAATTCACAGTTCCCCATTTGCTATATATGTTTTGATGAACTTGGATTTGAAAGCTTTTAACCATAAAACTACCTTTTGTTATTTGTAAGAAAAGGACAATAAATAAGCTCTTTTAGCTCTTATCCCCCTACTAGTCTTCACTTCCAGCAAATAAACTACTTTAAATCAAGAAGTACAATGATGACCATGGTTAGGCATTGTTCAGAAAATAATGTCAATTCGGACTGTTTAACATTATTTTAATCCATTTGTGGGTCGTGGATGTCGCTGGCTGGCCAGTGTTTATTGCCTGTCCTTAGTTGCCCTTGAGAAGGTGGCAGTGAGCTGCCTTCTTGAACTTCTGCAGTCCACGTGCTGTAGGTTGACCCACAGTGCCCTTAGCAAGGGATTTTGACTCCATGACAGTGATGGAACAGCAATTATATTTCAAAGTCAGGATGGGGAGTGGTTTAGAAAGGAGCTTGCAGGAAGTAGTTGTCAGTTTAAAAAGTGCTGTCTAAAGAACTTTGGTGAATTTCTGCAGTGCATCTTGTAGACAGTAGCAGTCATGTGTACTGTGCGTCAGTGATGGTGGAGGGAGTGGATCCTTATGGATGTGGTGCCAATCAAGCAACTGCTTTGTCCTGGATGGTGTTAAAGTTCTTGATTGTTGTTAGAGTTGTACCCATCCAGGCAAGTGAGGAGTATTCCATCACACTCCTGAACAGTGCCTTGTAGATGATGGACAGTCTTTGGAGAGTCAGTTGGTGAGTTACTCTCTGCAGTATTCCTAGCCTCTGACCTGCAGTTGTAGCCACAGTTTGTGGCAAGTCCAGTTGAGTTTCTGGCCAATGGTAGCCCCAAGGATGTTGATAGTGGAGAATTCAATGATGGTAACACCATTGAATGTCAAGACACAGTGGTTAGATTTTCTCTCATTGGAGATGGTCATTGCCTGGCATTTTTGTGGCATGAATATGGCTTGCCACTTGTCAGGCCAAACCTGGATTTGTCCAGATCTTGTTGCACTTGAGTGTGGAATGCTTTAGTATTGGAGGAGTCGCAAATGATACTGAATGTTGTGGAATCATCAGCAAACATCCCTATTTCTGACCTTATGGCGAGAAGGTCATTGGTGAAGCAGGTGAAAATGGTTGGACCAATGACACTACCCCAAGGAGCTCCTGCAGAAATGTCTTGGAGCTGAAATGACTGGCCTCCAACAACTTCAACCATCTTGTTATGTTCCAGATATGACTCCAACCAGCAGAGTTTGCCCCTGATATCCGTTGATTCCAGTTTTGCTAGGGCTCCTTGATGCCACACTTGGTTGAATATGGCCATGATGTCAAGTGCTGTCACTCTCATCTCACTTGCCACAGTCTTTCATATCTTCAGTGTATGAAAATATGAAGCAGCACTGACATGCTCCTAATTCCATCTATCTGGAATGCTTTGCTGTAACTGTTTAGATTCAGCATTATGTTTGTTGAACCAAGAAGAAATCTGAGCCAGAAATTCGTAATATCATAGAAACTCATAGTACAGAAGGAGTCCTCAGTCCATCATGTGTGTGCCTGCCACAAAACAAATAACCAATCTAAACACACTGTCTCACTCATTGTCTACAGCTTTGACATTATGACACTTCAGGTGTCTCTACCAATCAAATCTCCTCATCCTATTTAATCCTTTTTGTTTCAGAGAAAACATCCCAATTTATCATGACCTTCCTTAGCTCCACCCTCTATATGCAGTTAATATTCATTTGAAATTATTGTAATTGCCGTGGATGAAGGAAATGTTCCCCCTTATCAAAACAAATTGTGTCGACAAGATTATTATAGACCTTTTATTAAGCTGTTGCCTCCTGTCTTCTCCTTGTACTGTGACAATAAAATGACAGAATTGGTTATCAGTAGCAGTAGGATGCTGCCATGCCTTGTAAACTCCACTGAAAACAGCTCTTGCTGAACAGAAAAGGAAGGTGAAAATTTCCTTTTGCTTAGGAATGTTTAAGACTTTATTTGACTTTTTCATCCTAATAAACGGAAAGCCCTGAATAGAATAGTAAGCAAATTTGTATTTGGCATTGCTGGGGCTTTCACTGGGGTATTGAGCCTGTCAGCAAAAGTTTGTTATGCCTGCAAGTGCATGTGTCATGATTTGCTGGACAACTCAGGGATACAGTCAGATGTGACTCTCGCTGGATGAAATCTTCCCACACTCAAAGGCAGCTAGTCTGGAGAAGTGAAGGCAAATTCATTAGTCAGAATACTACTAGCGTGCAAGAACCCCATCTCCGCTGGGATTAAATTCCAACTGCCAAGACCCAAGCTCCACCTTCCCACTCCGCCTCCAGTTGGTCTCTTAAGTGGCTACTTACTGGCCAGTTAAGAACCACTTAAGGGCCTATTTCATCCACAAATCTGCAAAAATGCCATCCTTGGAGGATGGAATTTTTCAACTCAAGGCTTAAGTTCATTTTGTTTGTACATTGAGCAAAAGATGCGTGAAAGAGTTTATCTGGATTACTTGTACGGTTTCATTCTGTTGAAGATTCAGACTAGCCAGGAAATTAATGTAAACATAATATAATGTCATTTAGAAACATATTTAGAGATATTTCTCCACTGAGTCGTAGAGATACCTCAAATCTTTATGTTTTGGATTTAAGAGTGCAAATGATTAGAGTTATGGATTCAGTTTGTCAATAAAATTGTTAGTTGAAGAAGTAACACTTAAACTTTATGAATCCGTAGTCTACATTTTATGATTCTTAGGTTATTTACATATTTTAGGCTGTCATTCTGTTTAAATTGAATGTATTTTGCAGGGGATATACTGCTAAACTATTGTTTTCCCTATAACCATCATTTAAACCTCTAAATCCTTTCCTATCTAAATTGTATATGTTATATTTTCATCAACTTTTGAACCTGAAAACACTATTGTCAGCGCTTAACTGCAATGCGTGCCTAGATTCCCAAATTGCATGTCAGTTATGTTTCTGCTCCATTTCCTCCTGGTTTGGCACATACTTTTGTTGTTTATCAGATGGAAATCTCAGCCCATTCTTCCCCCTTACCTTCTAATGTTCTACGAATCTATTAATTACCGATTGATAATGGATTTTATACTGCCCCAGCATTGGGTGTGAAGCATGCCCTTGGGCCTGTTGAAGCCCTTAAGTGGCCAAAAGTCCTCATGCCAATGGTTCCAGTTTACCTGTGGAGGAGAAGGAAGCCAAAACCATCTCAGAAACCTCCCCGTTTTAACTGTATAAACTGGTGTCCTACTTCTAAATGAGGCAGCCTCCCCCTGCCCCCACCAACACTGCCACCAACCAAAAAAACACATGCACATACTTTGGAAATGCGTAGACATTTAGTTGCATTTTCTTGCCTGCATGAAGCTATTGGAGCGTGAAGATTATTAGTTTTGCATATTTCCTTAGTTTCTCTAATTTTTCTCCCAGAATTTTCAATTGCTTGGCTTACAACTTGTTTCCAGATGCTAAAAGCAATTTTAAACAGGGTGAATGGTGAAATTAGCTTCACAAATTTTCATCACAACTCTCTCCCTGCAGCCACTGTGGGCACACATGCAGTACAAATGACTGCAATGCAAAATTTGGCAGTCCTAATTTTATAGATAGTTGGTTTATATAAGTGTTTAGTTACATGATAATCTGTCATGTTACATGATCTGAGATTAATGCGGTCATAATATAGAAAATACTCTTTTTTTTCATATAACTGCATTAAAGAATATATGTTTGTCTTGATCTAGAGTATTCGGTCCAAGGTTGAACTGACAGTAGGAGACCAACCAAAAGACATTGAACTTTCCTTGACAGCTACATGTCAGGATGGTGTTTCACGCCCTGGTGTTAGAAAATGTGGTGATCTTAAAATTGGAGACACAGTAAGTTGTCACTTGTTATTCTAAGATAGTTAAGAGTATCTAATTGTTTTATTTTTAAGCTATTCTTCGTTACATTTACACAGTCTTAAATTAAGTGCATCATCTTTAATGGAAGGATTGATGTAAAAATGTGATGTCAACATTATCCTGCCTTGAGTAGTACTTTTTCTTCCCAC